ATCGCAAGCCACCGAGACCGAAGCCCCCGGCAATACCAGTGAGGAGTGCGTTTCGGGCGCAGGGCGTGTTGGCGACGTTCTTGAAGTCGTCGGTCTTGATCATCGCTACGGCGTTGGAGATGGTAGGGCGCTCATCGTCGCCGATTTTGGTCTCGTCGATGGGTTTGGACCAGACATTCAGGGTCTTTTGATTCGGGCCCGGAGGTGGTAGGCCATTACCATTGCCATTGCCACTGTCCGACGCCATTTCTGGCTACCTGTGCAGCGCAATTGTTGGCATACAGTTAGTTGGAGGTCATATGGGTCTCGTGCGATTTCTGGCCCGCCTGATGCTCCAGGTGCTAAGGCTGTGTTGAATACCGAGCTTAGTGCTCTGTGTTAGTGCGTCCTATATGTTTTGCACTAAAGCCACTAACATTCCTCCTCCAGTCCATTTGATGACTAAGATATCTCATAGCCAGTCAGCCCATCATTGATTGTTTAAAGTCTTGGCCAAAAATCCGGATCAGTTTTTTTCTAGAAACGCTCCATGCTTCCAGCTAATAGTATTCGAGGGATATTCCAAGCTACTCTGGTTATCCATGACACGAGATCCACTATGATCACCTCTGATCCTCCTTTTTTTCTTCTGTTGCTATCCCATGTGGGTGTCTGCTACCAGAGCGAAAACGTGGGATCTCGGCTCATGTTGGGCCATAATTAGCCGCCAGCAAGTGTCAGAGTACCAGTAAGCAACAAGAGAGCTACGCCGATTGGCGAAAGCTTCTTCCAAAGCGATGCCTTGATCTACCCCGGAAGGTTCCCGTATTCTCAATTTGCAGGTCTTGGCATCTAAAGTACTTTCATTACAAGCTTGCTGCCTTATGAAGAGCTGCCAACTTGAATTCCACTCGAATCAAATAGAAATAAGATGGATCTTCCTCCTCCTCCATTAATAACCAGTGTTATGCGTGTACTACGTTACTAGATGACGGGTGGCTGTCAATCCCTGTCCGGACCTGTCGCCTGTGCCATTCAGAGACTTGAGACAGCCAACCCATGACGTCTTAGGAGGAACCAAGCTTTTTGCGCCATGATTAGCATGCAAGGATAAAGCTTCTTTAGCATTTGGCAGGATGGCTGAAGCAAGAACCAATTACACTCGCTGGAGTCTTCACAGCTATTAGATGGGCCTACCTCGCTTGTACTCGAAGCTCCTGCCAATTTTGAGGCCTTATTAGACACGGTGTGAACCAATACAAACACTTGCAGAAGGCACAGGGAGCAGCAGCAGCCTCCACTAAATAATACCTTACGTAGGCTTGGAGGGGGTACAAGAAAACAGGCTGGCAAGATGGCGCGAAAATATCCGACGAAACAGGCGCGCCATGGAGATTAATAGAAAACCCCTTAGCTTTTTCCTCTGAGAGATCCAGCGCCAAGACACGTGTAACCCCAACTACCGCTCTCCTCATTTGTGCCTTCCCAGAGACAGCTATTCGGGGCTACTGATAAGGTAGGTTCGTCCCCGTCCGCTCCTAGCGCCAACCTTCCGTGTGCTTGGGTTGCGACTCGGCGCATCCCCCCATCATACCTTCCCATCTCTTCTCAACATAAAGCGTCGACCGAGCAGGTATGCGCTGCTAGATGCAATAGCGCTCAATGCACCCATTCTCTGTTCTCGCCATCGGCATCTTCATATCTGGTTATATTACCGCCCGTTGGGACCTCGTCACCCGCCTCTATGAGCTTGCTATTTTTGCCTGGGAATACGGTGTAGTTGTAAGCCCTCCACCACATCCCGACCACGCAACCCCCCTTGCCCCCCTCTGGGCATTTGCGAGCTAACATGTCTGCTCTTCTTGCTGTAGGCGCGTGCAGCCAAGGGATTCGTCCTCCTGACTACTATATTCTTTGGTATCTTTGTTCCAGTCGCACTGGTAGCACAGAAGGAGACGACACTGGTACGTTTGCAGATTCGACATGGGGTGGGGGGAGAGCCAAGAACTGACCTTGCATAGCATCCACGCACACCCAGTATAGGTGTTTCTGCACGAGAACAGCTACGGCGGCGAGGATCCTTTTAAACTGCGCGCGGGTGATCGATTGAGGGCCCGCCGTTTGATATGGTAGAGCATGATGGATTGATGAGAGTGTTCTGGCCGACCGACGTCCCTAAGTCCGATCGTCCAGGGGTCGTTGTGGGATGGAGAAACTCGAACCTCGACGTGTTCGTTGTTGCGATCTTGGACGACACTGATGTTTGTGAAGGCCACGGTGCCCCAAGTACGTTCTGCGCAGATTTTGGACTGACTTGTCATCACTCCTAGGCTCGCAATGTCGAATTTCACCTCAAGGCCGGGACTCTCTTCCGGAATTCGCCATACCCTCCTGTGTATTTCTACGAGCTATGCGGACACACATCGATGCACGTTCTCGGCGTCTCCAATGTCGCCGATCCCACAACCGCCGACCCTTCCTGGGTTTGCGCCAGAACGAATCCAACATTACAAGTACCGATAATCACATGCCCCAAGGCATCCAGCGTTCAAATCATTCTCTACGATCGACCCCAACCTCAGGGGATGCAGTACATATCTCTCAACCCCATAGCCCTCGCGCTTGGACATCAAAATGGTGAAGAAGGTATAAAGAGTGAGGACCTAGAAAGCGCCGAGGAGACACAAGAAAGGAAGGCGAAAGAAGCGAAGCGGAAGTTGGTGGAGAAGCTAAAACTGCATACCATCACGAAGAGGATCCCTTCGGCGAGGGACAAGGCGCTGCCCAAGATTGTTAATCAGGTGAACTGGTCTTTCGAGCTTGAGAAGACTCTGCAAAAGAATGTCGGGAGGCTAGGACCCAGGCCGAAGCGAAGTCTTAGTGTGTCTGAGCGGGTGGTTGAGTCTGCCGCAACAATGCGGAACTTTGTGCATATGCAGCTCCTCGACCTCTTCGCCGCATTTGTGTTTCCAATTATTCAAAAGGCATTCATCTTCTTCTTGTTGGGTCACCGAATACTGGCGGAAATGCTTCTCACCGTTCTGGAGCTTCGAATCAAACCAGGATTTGCCGCCTTGAAGGATATTTCGGCAACAGCGCAGCAAATTGAGATCAGGCTCCAGCAGTTTTGCTATTGGCCGATGCAATATGTCACTTTGCGCAAACGAAATACGAATTGGGCGAGCATAACAACGAGTCACCCCGACTATATTCGCTTCTACAACAGTCTATGGCTGGTTGCCAACGACGTAATCATTGGTCTCGCCCTTGGCTCTTATATAATTGAGCATGCAGACTGGGTTGCTGAGCAGGTGAACGACATTCTTCGCAAATACACGGTGGAAGCATTGCAAAGTAGTATCTCTTGGCTCATGGGCTGGCCGGCTGGCCTGAAGTTGAACGCTGAGCTAGCTACGTTTCTTGGCGATCTGTTTCTTTGGGTGATTGACTACTGGTCAAGTAAGTTTGGCCATCTCCGATGCACAATCAATATGTGACGTGGGTGCTAACCACAAGTGACTTGTATAGATTGTGTCTATATGTTGAGCCCTGCCTTGCCAAAAATCGTCTGGTTTGTTGGATTTTCTTCATTTGCAGGAGCCAGCATGTCCATTGCTTTAGTATCCGACTTCGTCTCCGCCTTGACCGTCCACATCTACTCCTTCTACCTCGCTTCAGCTCGCATCTACCACTGGCAGCTGACTATTCTTCAATCCCTCTTCCATCTGTTCCGTGGCAAGAAGCATAATGTTCTCCGCAACCGTATCGACTCTTGCGACTATGATTTAGATCAGCTTCTCGTTGGCACGATTCTCTTCACAGTATTGTTTTTTCTTCTACCCACCGTGGTCGTCTTCTATCTTAATTTTGCCGTCGCGAGGATGATCATCATCGCTTTGAAGGCTGTCTTCGACACTTTACTCTCCTGTTTGAACCATTTCCCCCTCTTTGCTCTAATGCTGAGAGTCAAAGATCCAAGACGGTTACCAGGTTAGCATCCCGAATTCATGATACCAACAATGAGATGCGGTTGAACTAATGCAAAAAACACAGGCGGCATTCGCTTTGAACTTCAAGATACCCAACATAATCTTAATTCCGACCCCAACTCAGCCGATGTACCGCGTGGACCGCCTACATCCGTCATCCACTTTAAGGTATGCTGAATAAAGCTTTATCAAGTGATATTGGGCCATGCGACGTACAACCTCTAACACACTTCTAGTCTATCCCCTTACCCTTCGAAGTAATGTTCCAACAGTATTTCCAAATGGCTGAACGGATCCGAAAGCACTACTTCTCGCCCCGGGTTTTGCTTTGTCTGGTGACGGGCAAGTTTGTGCCCCCTATAGACAGGAGGAATTTGTATAGTTTGCAATACAGCATGCTCCCCGCAAGGAGGGCAACGGTTTGGGAAATGTGGAGGGCAGTCAGTGTTGAACTACCACAGACGCAAAAGAAATCTGCACAGAGGCCCTTCAATCCGTCGATGCAAAATTTGGGGAAGCGGGCAGGAAACGGCAGGGCTAGAGCATACCACTAAATGAATACAAATAGAATTTTTGAAGATCAGATGGTTCTCACTTCGCATTGACCAGCCGCTAAGGCAAGAACCAAGGACAACAACGTCTCTTGCCTCGACCATTGTTCGGATTTCGCAATAAATCTATTCTCAGACGAGCTTCATCTCACATTATAGTCAGATCAAACCCGCCTTATTATGCCACTTCCAGGTAATATCAGAATGTATTCTTCCTTACGGTTACTTCTTCCCCTTCGCATTTCAGCGTGTTTTCCCTCTTCCTCTTCCTCTTCCTCTTCTTCTTCACCCAGTCCACATCTCATTTCTATCTCAATTCTCTCATCTATACAACCCAGCATCTTACTGGCCTCAACGAATCTGTGGCCACGTCGGTCCGATTTCAATCCTCCTCTCGACGTGAGCCGCCATTTTTCATTCTTTCAACGTCAACCAACGTCAACTTCACATTCGTGTTGTTCTTGAAACTATCCCAACAAACATGTGGCGCCTACGCTTTCTGGAGAGGCTTTTCCCACGCCTGGGCAACCCGGCTTTGAAGTTACTCTTATACGAGGTGGAACAAATCCATAAATATGTGGCTGCTCCCATCACCACAAAGTTGGTCCGAGCTTCACAACCAAGGCCCAACAGGCCTACAACACCATCATTCACCCCAGTGCCTATCAAAATTGAAGAAGATGATGAAGCCGCCTGCATCTCAATCACCAAGATTCCCGAGAGGCCCCCGGTGCCGACTATTGTCTTAACCACACCTGGAGGGCATCTTATTTCAGGAGACAATCTGCCGGAGTGGAAGAGGATCGAGCTCCCAATTTCATACCGGCTCAACAAATACCAGCAGAACAACAATGAGTGGCTAAGCCCAGCCCTCTGCCGAAGACTGCGTAGGAAATCACGGCGACGACAGATGCGCAGCGCAAACCAAGACGTCTCCTACCCTCAAAAGGCTTTCTAATCGCCACGTCTCGATCTAAATCTAAAGTCGAGGACGGCCGAAGGCAAGAAGGTAGGGTGTTGCCTATCCAAGCTCGTTTCGAAGGTCAATCCCTTGGTTCTCGATCCTAATTCGCATGTAATCAATAGGTTGAGCAAACAAAGAAATGAACGTTCTCTGCTTCGAGGAAATTCTTGATTGCTATCACTTGTTACGCAATTCGTGTATTATCAGAGTCAATGGTTGCTGGAAGCACGGATCCAAACATGGCGTCAATACAACCCAGAGCTGTTGAATCAGGCAAATAATGACAGTGCACACGGCCGAAATCCTGTGTCCGGATATACTGACAAACAATCTAGCCTGTGGTCTGAATATGCGGCTGCCATGTCAACATCACACCATGGCAATAGCAGAGTGTTGCCCGACGTGTACAGTAGTTATATGCAGGATTCCCGAAACAGAAATAAATGAAGTATGCACTTCACGTCTTAACCGCTCGCTGGCAAGCACGAGTCATCGTGGAGGGGCGCCACTGGGCTGCCCGGTCTGCAGCATGGCAAGATGTTAGGGTCGGGGTGTTACTTTGGGGAACCTAGGTGCAGGTGCATTGCATAATCAATGGCCACAGCCCGATGGAACCCAGCTACAGACGATTGATCCGAGAAGACAGACAGGCGGGAGATTGAGAAAAAGTCATACTATCATAGTTCCAGGTCTTTGCGTGCGTGCATGCAAGGCCGTGGCAGCACCAAGCTATCAATAGAGGGTGCCTGACCCGAGTTAGCTGTCGTTATCGGGAGTTGAAGAATAAGTCCATTCTGTAGAGCCAGTCCAGCCCAGTCCATCACCCCACCATCATCCACCACCACCACCAAACCACACCACTAGGTGAGAGCCTACCACAGTCGCGTGATGCTTCCCCCAGAGACCTAGCACCACCTCCGCCAAACACATCCCACTGTTTCAAAGCAGTTCTGCATATCCCCCTCCGTCACCGCGACTGGGGGTGCCCGAGCATATAACCTACTAGCCTGCCATTTGACGTCACCCTCCTCCAATTTGACTCCTGCTCTACAGCTGCGATTCACCGACCTATCAAGCACCCTTCCGACCTGCTTCTAGCGTGCGCCATCCCTACCTCCCACCTACTACATGTCATTGCTGTCTTTCGTTCCGGCCACTAACAGTGCTAGAGACTCGTCAGGGTCTTCACGTGTCGATTCCTTAGCTCCGTTGCGCTCGCCCTCGATTCATTGGGAGTGCGGATGAGACACTGACCAGTTGGCCGGCTCGTATAAAGGAAGCCTGTGGCCTGTCTTGGTCTAGGAATTTGGAGCTTCTGTAAGTTCGCTTGATCAGAAATACCCAGCGCCACGTTAAGACTGCCTTCAATTGCTCTCTACCCTGGATTTCCTATTCCTTGCTCCAGACTACTCCATCAGACTGCTTTTAGACCCTTCCTCCATCACGTAAACAAGCTCTCTTCTACAAGCCCCTCAGGCCATTATAGCCGCCCTCTCATCACATCAGAATTCGCCCACCAATCTTGCTTCCCGTAGTCCAATACTCATTCAATGGCTACTCAGGCCGAGGTATCAACCCATCCCTTGGCAGGGCCCAAGGAACTTTATCGAAGCAGCACCATGGATCCCAAAGAGCGGTTCTACCGCCATTTCCTCGATAACGATACCGGTAAGCAGCCAGCTCTCACCGTAAAGCGTGGTTTTATTCTTCAATACGTGGGTAGAACTTTGCAGAGACTAATTGTATATTTGTCATTTTCACCCTTGTGTCCAGACCTCCGAGATCAGATAAGCCAACTTGAATCACTGGCCAATGTTGGCGGAGAGCGTCAAGAAGCCATTGATCATATCCTTGCAGGTATCTCGAAACTCCAGAATGAAGTCGCTGATGCTGCCGATTTTACACCATCCTACGACCGTAAACAGTATTCCGAGGTAGGCGTTCCCGCTGTCTTGGTCCATGGGCTCTTTGCTCACCCATCTAGGCCGTGAAAAACATTCAGGATGCACTCAATGAAGCCGTCACTAAGATCACGCCTAAGTCGCGGTTCCAATTCAAGCGCACCACCAAGACCGTTTACGTCGATATGGGTGCGCCCGAGAACGATCCTCGTTTGAACCCTGGCAGCTTCTCTCGCAAGAACACACTGTCCGCGGACGGTGAGGAATCATCGGCTGCTGTAGTGGAGGACACCGTGAGCGAACTCCCACCTTCTAAGAACTACAATGAGGAGCTCTCGCAGCCCAGCTCCTCGTCTGTGCGGAAGCCGAGTTTCTCTGCAGCTCGGAGTATCGGAATCTCCAACCAAACCGGCCTGCACATCATACTCCCGCCATCAGCGGCGAGAGCAACGGCTGCGGGGAGCTTGACAGAGCTCTCGGGTTGCATTATCGACATGTCTATCCCAACGTCTGGAGGGACAGCTTTCCCTGGGCTTGCTCTGAAGAACATCAAGACAAGCTTGGTCGTTGCCGGTCGTGTGAACGGCCCGGTTCATATCACTGGTGTGACGGACAGCATCCTGGTCGTGGCAGCACGGCAGGTCAGAATTCATGAGTGCAAGAATGTTGACATTTATCTTCACTGCGGAAGTCATCCTATCATCGAGGATTGCTCGGGGATGCGGTTCGCGCCCCTCCCAGCATGTTATGTGAGAATTCTTCCCAACCTCACGCCGGCACCCAAAGTCGCGCCCGTGTAACCATGCTGACTTTTATTACCCCATAGGTGTCAGAGGCAGAAGAAACCAGTGAGAACCAGTGGGACCAGGTTGACGACTTCAAGTGGCTCAAGGCAGGGCATAGCCCGAACTGGACCATTCTCGCAGAGGAAGAAAGACTCAGCCCTGAGGTTTGGACTGGCATTGTACCGGGGAAGCCAGGTGCCAGCGTTGACGAGATTTTGGCCAAAGTTGGGATTCCACGGACGTGAAATTAAAACCATCTCGCGATATCTCCCTCGTGCCGTCTAGTTAATTCAAATACACGCCTTAACACCGCATATGAAACAACAAGCTCTCATGCTTGTTGTAATGCTCCCTTCTCCAAAACGCCGTACATGCAAATGTGACCCCATATTTACCATCCCCAGCCCAAATGAACAGTCGATGGGTTTAGAAAATGCGGCGAAAAAGAAACCGTAGATAAAAAGTCCAAGACGTTGAAGGGGCCCGGCTCAAGTCTCCATCCTGTCGCCAGTGGGCGCGTCATTCTTGCCAAAGGCCAGCCCCTCCTCCCTCAGCCTCTCCAGCAGCACCCTCTGCTTCTCGATGCGCGCCTCGAGCTCCCTCATCTCGGCGTTCTGCTCGGGGACGGTGCGCGACATGTCGGGGAGGCCGCGGACCTGCTCGCGGGCGCGCTGCAGCTTGTGCTTGATGCCGTCGGTCGCGTTGGGCACGTCCTTGAAGGTGAGGCGCTTGCCGCCCCCGTCGGCCGCCGACGCCGCCGCCGAGGGCGTGCTCGTGCCCGTGGCCAGCTTGGGGGCCGCGGCGGCGCCCGGGTCCTGCTCCTGGTTCTGGAGGCTCTCGCGGGCCGTCTCGTGGACCTTTTGGAGGACGTTGTAGAGCTCGGTGAGGACGTCGAGGGTGTCTGGGGAGAAGGCCGGGGGGAGGGCGAGGGGGTGAGGCTCGTTGGACATTTTTGCTGGTGGAATTGGTTGGCAGGAGGAGATGCAGTATTGTGTGGTCGTGTCAGGACTTGCTCGAGCGTTAAGGTATTGCTTGCCAAAAGATTACCGTTAGTACCTAGCAGCCGGGAATTTTTCGATCGCACTGTGGAACACGGTAGATCTTCAGAGCACCACAGTGTTTCGTACAGTGTGAAAACAAAGCGGCATGCCAGCGAATCGGCTCAGAAGCAACAAATGACTTGCAATCCAGCATAACTTCATCTCCCATTGCTACCTAAGTCCTGCTTCCATATCTACACCCCAATCCCCGCCCCTAAAAGAAGATCCAGCACCGATGAAGCCATCCAGCATGCTCGGACTCAATCCCGCAAGTCACTCCAGCCCGAGCTTAGTTGCTGCCATCCGCCCGTTGCCACGACGGGCTCAGACGGCGCCTCCAAAGGCTATCACAGGCCGGAGCTCCGGACGCCCTGACTACGTCCTAACCTTCTGTTACATGCTCGTCTATTTAGAGGTGGGCTGGCTGATCACTCTGTTATGGCGCTCGTATGTGAAGCCGGGTGATTGGCTCGCCTGAGCAACAGAGATAGCTCCCACGCACACATCAACATCCAAATCCCTTTCTGTACCCATGGCTTGCCCGTATTCAGCCATCCCGGGGTGAGGCTGCGGGGCACGAAGCCTTTATTCAAGAAGAACAAATGCCCCCTTTAAGCCCTTGAGCTTGAGGGGGCTGCTTGGCAAACGATCTATCTCGTCCATCAAATGGTAGGAGTAGCTACACCCAAGCTATCCAAGCCAGGCTGACATCAATCGCCAGATACGCCAGATAATCGGCTTGAGCTGATGAAATGCACCTCAGAGGAGCCGCTAAGGAACCCGTTCTCGGGATCTAGGTCCTTGTACGACAGGAAGAGCTGATATGCATGCATCATTGATGTGAAGCGCAAAGCTCAACCCCTCACCTATGTGCACAACCAGCTTCAGGGGTGCCACGCCACCGAGTCTCAGGTGGTGAGTGTATGAAAGTCGTCATGATTGGGATCCGTTTAAGAGATGCGAGCTCGTGGTTCTAGAACGGCTTCTTTGCCCAAGGTGCACCTGGGTTTGAGCTGGGGCGCAGGGCCTAGAACCTGCCGCCCCCAGAATTCTCACCACTCTCAAGTTCCAGATCCCAGGGCCCGCATGAAGCTAAGGAAAGCCGCCTTAGCCGCTATTGCCAGCCCCCCTTTCATTGTCTTTAGGATGTAAATGGTCAATCAATGGAGATGGCTATCAAGTTGTGAGACGAAGACGCCTATCGGGTGCAGAGTGGCACCAACTAGGCATGTACTTTGAGCTTGGACAACTACCAGGGAGAAACACCC